TGGTAGAGCACTCACCTTGAGCTGAAGAGCTGAGGGGCAGTGCCCAAGCCCAGAGTTCAAGCCCCACAGCCAACAACAACAACAAAAAAAGAGCTTGGAAATATTCTATATATGAGGAATTTGATTTATCCACTAAAGAACAAAAACAAAAAGATGTGTCCTAAAAACCACTTAGAAAAACCTAAGACACCAAGGAAAGAAAAGAGAGGAGAATTTCACAAAACATGAAAAATAAATCAATACAAATGAGAGAACCAAACAATATAACCGGATACTAAAGAAATCCTAATTTAAACAATAAGACTCCCATTAATAGCTACAAAAGGCAAAGTATAAAACACAAGGCTGGTGAGGGTAAGGATCCTCAGGTCCACTTGAGTACATGACCAGTACAACACCATAGAAGGAGTGGGATTTTTAAATTCACATTATTTGATTCAATGGCAAAACACTATTAATACACAAATATTTCAAATCCGGCATAGCTTAAAATACAATCATTAGGGCTGGGAAGGTGGCTCAGTGGTAGAGCGCTTGCCTTGCATGCCTGAGGCCCTGGGTTCGATTCCTCAGCACCACATAAGCAAAAAGAAAAAATCTGGAAGTGGCGCTGTGGCTCAAGTGGTAGAGTGCTAGCCTTGAGCTGAAGAGCTGAGGGACAGCGCCCAGGCCCAGAGTTCAGGCCCTACGACCGGACCCCCCCCACCAAAAAAAATACAATCATTAAAAAACATGAGTTAGTAAAAATATTACTAATAAAAATGTTTACAAAAACTATTACTGGACTGAGAATGTAGCTCAGTGGTAAAGTGCTTGCCTAGCATTTGCAAAGCAGCTGTTTTGATCTACACCACCATAAAAAGAGGTGGAAGAATGATTTCTAACTTTAGGTGTAAAAGTAATTTACACATACTTCAAGGGTTATATGTCAGTAAACTAAATTTATCTATAAAAATTTGATAAAAGGGGATATAACAGGAAATCAAAATTGTTATCACTAAGAAATGTTACTATGCGTTACTTTAGCCTCTAAATTTTTCAAAATTTTATTATTTGCTGTAGTAGACATACTTCTCTAGCCCCAGTGGTTAACTAGTAAACTGTTTAAAAACTGCTTAGAGAATAGAATCATCCGTTAATTTCCATGGTATATATATATTCCTGCTATGGCTAATTACAGGATACCAATGGTTTCAGCAACTGGCTAACAAAATTCCTGAAATTTTAGCAATGAGTTCTTGCAATCCAGTCTGAGCTGTTCAAGCCCAGGGTAGCTCCAGTTACACCAAATTCCAAAATAAACAAGATAAACTAATAATGATGATAGTTATGACATGACTTTTTTTGTTATTGTTATTGGTCGTGGTGCTTTTACTCTGGGCCTGGGCGCTATCCCTCAGCTCGTCAGCTCAAGGTGAGCATTCTACCACTTGAGCCACAGCACCACTTCTGGTTTTCTGGTGATTAACTAGAGATAAAAGTCTCACAGACTTTCCTGCCCAAGACTGGCTTTGAACTGCGATCCTTAGATCTCAGGCTCCAAGTAGCTAGGATTACAGGCATGAGCCAATGACATGATTTTTAATCAAGAAAACAGTCTTACTACATGAGGTAAAAAAAAAAAAGAAAGAAAAGTAACCATAGACATAAAAAATGAAAAGTAACTGTAGACATGCAAATACAGAACACTCAGTTTACAGATTTACTAGAGATACCAAAAATTCTGCACAGTCAATTACTATGTACTAAAGAGGAAAAATTTTAAGTAGACATCTTCTAATAGTAATTTATTAATTACATTTATTAATCCATTTATCCATAAAATATAAAGAGACCCATTTGTGCCTCCTAGTCCAGGCTAGGCAATACAGCTGTGAGTAAAATGCAGTCCCTGCTCTCATGGAGCTTACATTCTGTTAAGTGGTATTCCACAATCTTTTTCCATGAACAACTGGTATTAAATTCATACAAACTTTAATGTTAAAATAAGCTAAACTAATATGAATGAGAAGCAAGAGTCCTACTTATTATTAGTTTTTAGAGAAAGTAGACATATGGGAAAGGAAAACTACATTCATAGAAAAGAGGAGGATATTAAAAAAAAAAGGGGGGGCATAAAAATTGAAAGCCGAGGCCCACCACCTCCGAACAGGCATGCATACCTTTTCATTTCTACCTCCTGGTAGAAGCTAGTACAAAAATGAACTTTACTAAATTACACGAGACATTTACATTTGCCTTAAATTCCAATCAGGTTCCTGCTAATAAGATAAATCAAGTTTGTGATTAAACGATTAGTGACCACCACCTTAATATAGTCTCTTACTTTTGCAGGAGAACGTTGTTTCCGCTTCTTCTTTTTCTGTAAGTCTACTGGCTCTCTGATTTTTTTGTCTCTCATCAGTTGCTCAGATACATCAGTAAAAGTAATTTCCTGTTTTACACTTATCTGTTTAAAAACAAAAAGCTGATTTTAGAAATGCATAAAAAGTCCATTGTGACCAAAAGCCATTGTATGTTTAATCCTTGTCCAAGCCTACATGGAAGTGGAAGTGCTCCACAGTGCCTATCTGTGTGTGTGTGTGTTTGTGTGCGTGCGCATGCACGCATGCATGCAGGTATATCAACTAAGTAAGAGACATCATTAATAGGCAGTTGAGAAATAAAAATCGTGAGCATATAAACTAAAGGAGAATAAGATTTGTTGTTTTAATTCTACCTTAAAAACAGATTGAAGGTGTACTGAGGAAAGATGATTACAAGGTCTAGTGGAAGGCTGAAAATGGCCATGCATACCTGTAATCCAAACTATTCAGGAGTCAGAGAAAGATAAATCTTGGTTTGAGGCCAGCCAGCCTGGGCAAAAAGTCAACAACACTCTATCTCAAAAACAAACTAGTGAGCATAAAGGCATGGGCCTGTTATCCCAACTAAGAGGAAAGCACAATGGCTGGATGCAGTGGTAACATGGGAATACAGACCAGGCCAGCTTGATGTTAAAGCATCATCACCACTAAAGGGGATAGAGATATATGACTCAAGGGGCAGGTAGAACATCTGCCTAGCAAATGTGAGGTCCTAAATTCAATCCTCAAAACTGCCAAAAGAAAAACATAAGCTAGACAGGCAGTTCATGCCTGTTACCCCAGGTCTAAGGAGATGGAAGTAAGAAGAAGATTTGACTCCAATTCTAGCACAGTCAAAAGCCTAACAAAAAACAAACAAACAAACATAAAGCAAAAACACTGGAAGGGTGGCTCAAACAGTAGAGCAAAAGACTCTGAGTTCAATCCCCAGTATCAACCCCACCTTTGCCATAGAAAATTTGGACATTGTAATGCACACCTGTAAATCCAAACTATTCAGGAGGCCAAAGCAGAAGAAATTTCATTTCAGTGCCAAACTAGACAAACGTTAGTGAGTCTCTATCTCAAATGTAAGTCAGGCATAGAATTCAAACTCCAGTGGGGTGGGAATGGGGAACCACTAGTAGAAAACAATAGAAAAGCAAACACTGTAGCACCAATTTCATTGTTATTCTTAAGGAGCTCATGCTGAGGTTATAAGTACAAAAAGATGAAGTTCCCAAAGTCAATATAAAGCTGAGGGACAAATGGGATATTCAGATATGTCAGTGTGTTTTCTTTCATATCAAGAAAACAGAGCTGGGAGCTGGTGGCTCACGTCTGTAATCCTATTTAGGAGACGGAGATCTGAGGATTGCAGTTTAAAACTACCCTGGGTACAAAAGTCCATGAGACTTTTTTGTTTTTGTTTTTTGTTTTTGCTGGTTGCAGGGCTTGAACTCAGGAGCTGGGTGCTGTCCCTGAGCCTCTTTGTGCTCCAGGCTAGCACTACACCACTTGAGCCACAGAGCCACTTCCAGTTTTAGAGTGGTTATTTGGAGATAAAGAGTCTCACCAGGACTTTTCTCCCAGGTGGCTTTGAACTGTGATCCTCAGATCTCAGCCTCTTGAGTAGACTGGCACTGGTTCATGAAACTCTTATTTCCACTAACTACCAAAAAAGCCAGAAGTGGAGCTGTAGCTCAAGTGCATTAGGCTTAAGCAAAAGAAGCTCAGGGACAGAGCCTGGGTCCTGAGTTCAAGCTGTAGGACTGGCGTAAGAGGAGAAGGGGGGAGAGGAGAGAGGGAGAGGGAAGGGAAGAGAGGAGGAGAAGAAAGAAAAAAAGGAAAGAAGGGAAGGGAGAGGGAAGAGGGGAGCAGAAGGGAAGAGAGAGGAGAGGGGAGAGGAAAGAGAAAAGGAAGGAGAGGGGAGAAGGGAGAGGGAAGAGAGAAGGGAGAGAGAGGGGGAGGGGACAGGGGAGCAGAGGGGAAGAGGAGAGGGAAGAAGGGAGAGGGAAGGAGGGAAGAGAGGAAAGAGGAGGAGGGGAGGGAAGAGGGGAAAGGAAACAGCACAAAATTCTAAAGGAAGGTAAGAAAATAGCTCACAATTCTAAAAGATCTAATCAAAAGACTAACAATGAAAACTTACTTTTATGCTCAATGTTCTTCATAAAAAATAGTACTCAATATTTCCCTAGCCTTGACAACTAACGATGACAAAACTGAATGAGTTTTTTTTTCCGATCACTAATTTGTACAAGACAAAATGCTTATAATAGAGAAATATTCCAGGAGATATGAAAATTTCAACATTGCTATCCCATCTTAAGTTCTCAGGTCTTCAGAGTTGCTTGTCTTAACAGAAACATACCAGAGTTCTAAGGTGACTAACAATACAGTCAAATTTCATCAGATTTGCTGATGCTCAGTCATCCCCCTTCACTGTTACATTTTCAATTTATCCTTGAAATGAAAACATACAAGTATCTTAAAACATTCAAGTCAACAGACTATGAAATATGGTAAAACTTGTTAAGAATCATCAGTAAGCAGAATGTGCTAATGACTAAATTTCTGAAAACACAATAAAAATATGGTGTAGAAGATTATGAGCATTTTACAGAGGTATAAGACAGCTGTGTAGAAAGGGTTCATGATCAAAATGCTTAAACTTATGTCAGAGATTTCTGATTGATAAAATGAAAAGGCAGTTTTCATGAATTCCTGAAATAGGAGCACTGTGATAATCACAAGTCAAGAAGGTTTGAAAAATGAAAACAACTTATATGTTTTTTTGCCTACTGACTTACAGAACAATGACCATTCTAACAGTTTATTTTGGCATCAATTATTTAGAGCAAAACACAGAATGGTAAAATGACTACCACCATGGCTTTAGGAAACAAGTATCTTTACCACTAGAGCACTGATGTTTACCAAATTACAACTAGGGAGGCTGAGTATAAGACAAAGGATAAAAAGACTTGAAGCATTGTGGAACTGCTCTGTCCTATTCTGTACATGCTCCATAGACGAATCCAAATATTTCTGCCAACTTATAAATTACAAAGATCTGTGGAAATATAGCATACAACAAACAGAAACAGAAGTTCTTTTCACAAGTGTCAGGTACAGTGTAAAACAGATTCATAAATAAACCCTGCAATTAGCAGCTACTGACAAACCAAAGAATTACATATGTGAACGGTTTTAAAGAAAGGCTAATACAAACAGCTGATTCTTTGTTACTTCCACGTATATGGGAGCTGATAATATTAATACTATCATTTTCTAATATAAGGAATATGATAAAACCATGAACCTAAACCTACAAGTTTCAGTGAGAGAAAGCATAGTGATTGTCAATAGGCACATAGTAATTTACACTTTTAATAATCTCCTCCCTACATAACCTCTAAGCATACCCTAAAAAGTGGATGGCCCAGCTTAAAGTACTCAGAAAAATGCAGGTAAATTCAAAAACAAGAAATTATAAATATGACAATGAGGAGACAGTTACAAAGAGTTGCACAGAAAAAGGCAAAAACTTAAGCCTTCCTTCACCCAAGGAAAACTACAGTAGACATCTAGAAAAACTACTATCACAGAAAATTTTTAAGCACAGCAGAAATACATCTTACTCTTACTCTTACATTGGTGGCTCATGTCTACAATCCTAGCTACTCAAAGAAACTGAAATCTGAGGATCACAGTTTGAAGCCAGCCTGGGCAGAAAAATCCTTGAGTCTCTGTTTCCAATTAACCAGCAAAAATGTTAGACTGAAGATATGGCTCAAGTGGTAGAGCATCAGCTATAAGAGCAGAAGCCAAGCAAGAGTGCAAGACCCTGAGGTTCAAGACCCAATAATAGCACATACGAAAAAAGTTCAAAGTATAAAAAATATGTGAGATTTAAAAACAAAACAAACAAAAAACTGTTTCCTCCTTGTCATTTAAGTTTAACCATTTCATCCAGTCCCATGAGCATCCTCAGGCCCACTTGAAAGTCTCAATTTCAAAGTTCTTCTCTCTCATTATCCACAAATAGCATCACTATCACCAGACCTATCCTCCTTTCATTAGAAATCCAAGAATTGCCAGACACTGGTGGCTCACTCCTGTAATCCTAGCTACTCAAGAAGCTGAGATCTGAGGATCACGGTTCAAAGTCAGCCTGGACAAGAAAGTCTGTGGACTTTTATCTCTACTTAACACCAGAAAACTGTAAATGGTGCAATGGCTCAAAGCGGTAGAGCACTAGCCTTGAGCAAAAAGAGCTCAGGGACAGTGCCCAGGCCCTGGGTTCAAGCCCCAGAACTGACCAAAAACAACAACAACAACAAAACGCAGGGAGCCGGTGGCTCACGTCTGTAATCCTAGCTACTAAGGAGGCTGAGATCTGAGGATCACTGTTCAAAGCCAGCCCAGGCAGGAAAGTCTGTGAAACTCTTATCTCCAATAAACCACCAGAAAACTGGAAGTGGCATTGTAGCTCAAGTGGTAGAGCACTAGCCTTGAGCTGAGGAGCTGAGGGACAGCACTCAGGCCCAGAGTTTAAGCCCCACCACCAACAAAAATAACAACAACAACAACAACATAAAAAACCTTTTCAAGTGCAAAAGACTCCTAAGTTACCTTGATAATCTCTTAGATGTCAAATTTCCTGTTTAAATTACTTCCTTAGTATACTTACTTTCTTTACACACTCTCTCCCTCATGAATATACAGCATCGTTTTATAAAGGTTAATTAACATGTTACCATGGAATAGTGAATCTAATATATATTAGAATACAATTATATTAAGCCAGATAATGAAGAAATTTGCAAAAATGCAGAACAATTCTCACTAAATTTTTTTGGAAAATTTATAATGAGTTTTGTTATTTATAACTTTAAAATAAAACTTGAATATACATTTTACATAACAAATATATAACATTATACATAATGAACAAAAGTAAAAGATCTTAGGAATCTTCGATTTTTTTTAAAGAGTATAAAAGAGTCCCAATATCATAAAGCTTGAAAACTATCTCAACACACTTTCTGTTTGGTTGGTTTTTGTTGCTTATGTTTGATTTTAATACAATAGGATCTCACTA